ATCCCCACATCAGGCTCTCTGCTGACAGCTCAGAGTCTGGAGCCTGCTTTGGATTCTGTGTCTCTGTCTCTCTCTAACCCTTCCCCTGCTCACACTCTGTCTCTCTCTTCCTCTCAAAAATAAATAAACATTAAAAACAATTTTTTAAAAAGGAAGTGATTAATAGTGCCATATTTTGCAGATGAATCAAGCACCATAAATCACTAAGTCAAAAACATGCATCTTTTTTTCACATTTAATAGCTCTGAAATTAGAATGCATTTTATGGTTGAGGGCATGTGACAATTTAAGTGGTATATAAGATAATGATGTCTTAGATTAAAAGTAACATGGCATATGAGGACTAAGAATGGAACACTGGTTTAAGGCAAGTGTAGGCCACTGGTGACCTTGGCCAAAGAGTTTCAGTGTAGGAGAGGAGTGGGTGCAAATGAAAGGAAAAAAAAAAATAAAAGCAAATGAAAGGAGAGAAATTGGAATATTGACAATTCTTTAGATCATTGCTCTAAAGGAAAGTGAGAATTTGGACAGTAGCTGGAAAGGGTAGTCAGGGCATAAACAGTTTTTGTTTTTTAAGATGGAGGAGAAGACAGTATGGCTATGTGCTGATAAGAATGTCTGTGGCAAGAGGACATTTATGATGTAAGAGAGAATGGCTGAGTAGACCAGTGCAGAAAGGATCAGTGGCCTAAGTGGCAGGATGCTTGGGTAGGTGGGAGAAATGGAGCTATAGGGTCTATATACACTACTTTGGCCGCCTCAGTTTTCTCTGTTAAGTAGAGGAAGCAAGGTCATTAGCTGGTAGGAACATCGGGGAGGAAGGGTGAGAATTTAGAAGCAAAAAGAGCATGAAATTGGTTGTCTAGGAGAGAAGGAGTAGGACGATGACCAGGCAGCACTGAGGTTTGGTCAGGAACTTCAAGTGGGACCACTTAGTCAGACTGCATGATTTTCTCCAACCTTCTTCCGTGGCAGGGTGCACACCTAAAGAAGGTTCAACACTGGATTTTACCAGGGCTGTGGTTGTGCCAAGGAAGTATATATGCAAAGGACAGGGCCAGGGAATTGAGGGTGTACATGGGCGAGATCTAATGATTGAGCACGGAATCTAAACTGGGTGGGTAGCATGCTTGTGTACCCATTCTCCTGCTCCTGTCCCAGTACCTCTAATTCACTCATGCTAAAACAGAGCAGACAAGTGTGCCTGGCTGATGAACTCTTGTGGGTTCTCTGTTTTAATGAGATGTCCCCTCCCTTGCTCTCAGCACCAGGTTTATTCTCTTTCTGTGGCAGGGCTGGGCTATTGAGGCACAGATCACAAACCGGTGGGGAAAGGCAGAAGCACTCAGAACTGCTGGGGTACATCTGACAGTGTACATCTCTTGAAATAGACCTGCCATGTATGGTAGGTACCTCATGTGTATAGTGTATTCCTTCATCCAACACCAAACGAGGAATGCAAAAAGGGATGAAAACTAATAATAACTGAAAACAATACTTTACTGATTTGCCTTTTTTTTGTTTCATTTTTTAAGGCACTTGATGAATTAATAAGTAAAGGATTGCCTCTAATTCTGGTCACAGTTGGCCAACCACATCTCCTAAATAAGTTTTCTTTCATTAAAGCCTACTTTTTAATAAGTGTGGCTGCAACAATAAATTGTGTCCCAGAAATTTCAGTGAAAACAATCTACCATGGACTTGTCTCTGAGAAGAGTAGAGCAAACTTTCAAAACTTGAAAGGTAATGTTTTGTTTCATTTTTGACTTCTCTTTCTCCTCTTTCCCCAACTATTCCCACTCCACTCCCAATAATCCATATGAACAATCTAGTATACATTCTTCCATATTGTTCTCTAAGCACACTTAATGACACACATATGTGCCTATGTTAGGTATATGCATATCCATTTCTGTCCACATATATCAGTATTCATACACTTTTTCATATATATACATACAAAATAGGATTCATCATTTATTTATAAAATGATATATTTTACATTTTTCTGCATCTTATGTTTTTTATGCATAAAAGCTTCACTAAAACCACTTTAAGGCAACTGCTTTGTTTGTTCTGCTATTCTGGTTGTGCCGTGTTCTATGCTGAATATCTCGCGGCTTGTTCAACCATCCCACTATTGCTGCACATTCACTTTTTTTCTAGGAATAGGGCTGAAGTGCTACATATTCTTATCATGTAGTATCTATTTCTATGGGATGAGATACCCATGGATAGGATTTATAGGTCATAGGTAAGTATTTCTCAACTGTATTGGATATTGCCCTAAGATTAATTGTTTTTCACTGTTAAGTATGGTGTTAACTGGATTCTTCATTGATGTTCTTTATCAGGTGAGGAACTGTCCTTTTTATTCGTGGTTTGTTGAGTGATTTTGTCATAAAAAGGTGCTGGATTTTATTAGGTGCTTTTCCTGCATCTATTAAGATGCTTCCATGTTTTTTGGTTTTTATTCCATTGATACGGTTTACAACATTAATTGATTTTTGAGTGTTTAAGCCAACCTTGCATTCTTGGGCTATCTCGCATTTAGTCATGGTGTATAAATTCCTTTTATATGTTGTTGGATTCTGTTTGCTAGTATTTTGTTGAAGGTTTTTATATCCTTATTCATAATAAGTATGGTTCTGTAGTTTTCATTTCTTGAAGTATCTTTGTCCTGTTTGGATATCAGAGTAATATTGACTCTGTTTTAAAATGTAACTTTTATTATTATTCGGGTATGATGAGGTCAACAGATAAGAGGATGGTGGCCATTAAAAACAGAGTTTGTTATTCAGTTTTCCAGGAGGAGGAGCAGGTCATTATCTGGGAGGGGCCACACAGAGAATCACCAAAGTCACTGAGAAGCAGAGAGAGCAGGAGGACAGTGTGGATCAAACTCTTCCTAGGATCTCTCATGTTCTGAAATGCATCCCAGCGTTCTTCCATGCCAATCTCCAGGCATTTATTTTTGATCTTTGTCTCTCTCTCACTTTCTCTTTTAGGGGAGAAAACCCAGCCCGAGGTCTTTCTGCTGGGTCTTTCCCAATTCTCAAGCCCTCTTTCATACTCAGCTGTTTGCTCCAGAGCCCTTTAATTTAGGAGAAGAGCCAAGTAGGTAGTAGTTGGAAGAAGAAGGAAGTCAGATGTGTTCAATTCCATGCTATTTTGGACTTCCTCTTACCCCTTGACAAACTTAGTCTCTTTAGGTGGGTATTTTTTGCAGGAATTCCTAGTCAAATAATGATTTGTGGGGGTTTTTACCCCCTCTCCTCTGTAGTCTAGAAGTTCAGTTTTACTATAGCAGGCAGAGTCTGTGATCTAAATTATCTCGGTTCCTCCTGCTCAGAATGACAGGCTTTGGATTGTGGGTTTTTGAGATACTTGAGAATTGTGGATTTTGATGTTCTAAATACTCTCACTCTCTGCTCTTAGTGTGAGGGGCTTATGCAAATCAGTAGAACTACTGACATTTCCAAGGAGATCTTATTGAAATATTATAAATATCTGGGAGACCCAAAATACCTTGGGGACCTTAAGGCGTCCTGTGATCCCAGAGGAGGAACCATTACTCTATATCAGTGGCCAATAATTTAAAGAACATCACCAAGAATCCTCAAGATACTTTCAGAATTATCTGATTTGTTGTAAAAATCATCCTCAGCCTTTGAATATATGATATTTAAGGACCATTTGATAGAACAATATGTTTCTAATTATCATGGTGGGTTTTTTTAAATATGAAATTTATGGATAGTTTCCCAACTAATTATGAGTTTTATAAACTAGAATAAATATTTAAACTAACCACAGATATTCTTGGTTCTTCAAAAATTTTGTGTCTTTATAGAATTATGTTTAAAGGACGAGGGAATCTCATTTGGTCAGTTTGCAAAAATTAAAGGTGACTTCACACTTAGCACAATAAAGGTAAGTTTGGAAATTTTTTCAAATCATATGAAACTGGTTACCAAAATGTCCACTATGAGGTCCTGGATAGGCTCACTTTCAGGGTTGTGTTTGCTCTTGGGAGACTGAGTAGCTTTTCTTGCATAAGCATGGATTGGGGCCAGAGACAGAGTCTACTCCTCGTGAGAAAATTAGATACCCAGAGATTGTCAGACTTTGACTTTACAAATATGATTAAGGCACTGTGGAAAATATGATTCATTATTTGATGGGATTTGAGTATTCCATTCCCTGTTTCTCATTTCCTAATAATAATAGTGATGACAACAGCAACACAAACAGCTACCATTTATTCAGTGCTTACTACGTGACAGGCACTTTGCATGATTAATTTTTACAACTCTGGGATGTAGGTATTAATCATTTTTGAACTATGTTGTGCTGAACCGTGAGAAAATTGAGGCTTAGGCAGAAAAAAATTCCTTAATGTCATGCATCTAATGAAATGCAGATCACGTTCTTAGCCATTATACTCAGTTGCCCTAGTAGTCCTTGTAAAATGTGTACCACTCTGTACAAACAAGTTTTTAGAGACCTGTTTTTTGAAGGATTTGTTGGTCCTTTTCTCCTTTGCCATGCTGGGTTGGTATTTACTATTGATTGTCTGCTATAAAATCTCATTATCTTCACATTACCAGTTAGGTGATCATAGCTTAACTTGAAATACAGTCAATCCTCATTATTCACAGATTCAGTATTTGCTAACTAGCCTATGTGCTAAAATTTATTTGTAACTCCAAAATCAATACTCATGGCTCTTTTTTGTGGTCATTTGTGAACATCACAGAGCATAGAAAAATTTCAGTTGCCCAGCACACACTCATACATTCCTAGCTGCGCTGGACAAGGCAATTCTCTGACTTTTTGTTTCCACTCTCATACTGTAAATAAGAGTCCTTTCCATGGTCTATGCATCGCCATGTTTTTTGAATTTTTGTGCTTTTTATTGGTGATTTCACTATTTGAAATGGCCCCTAAGTGTAGCACTGAAATGCTGTTTATTATTCCTAAGAATACTAAATTCCTAAGAAGGCTGTGATGTGCTTTATGACTAAATGCATAATCCACGCTAATGCAATAAAAGCTTTAGTCAGGCATGAGTTTTAAAGCTATTAGCTATGAGTTCAAGGTTAATGACTTTACAGTATATATTAAATAATGTGTCTTTAAAAATTTTTTTTTCAACGTTTTTTATTTTTGAGACAGAGAGAGACAGAGCATGAACGGGGGAGGGGCAGAGAGAGAGGGAGACACAGAATCGGAAACAGGCTCCAGGCTCCGAGCCATCAGCCCAGAGCCTGACGCGGGGCTCGAACTCACGGACCGCGAGATCGTGACCTGGCTGAAGTCGGACGCTTAACCGACTGCGCCACCCAGGCGCCCCAAATAATGTGTCTTTAAATATAAACGCACATTAAACAAAGTTATATGTAGATCAGTTGGCAAAAATATCGTGACCAGAGGCCAGCAGGAACTTATTCCTGTATTTCCTCTACGAGCAATGCTTCAGTATTTGCTAATTTAGTGTTTGTAGCAACTTTATGGAACAGTTTAAGTACTATGAATAATGAGCGCTGGCTGAGCACACAATAGAGGGTAACTGTTGTACATGCTTACTCTTGCCATTACTCTCCTTTTTGTTTTCTGTTGCCTTTTTCCTGTTCACTGAGCTCTCTTCTCTGATGATTATGTGCAAATTTCCTATTTGGTCTTCCGTTCAAGGTTATTTTCTTAGTACATGAAAAACACCTGATAAATAGGAATGAGATATTATTTGTATTATCTCTAAACTTATGTGATTGTGTGGTATTCTTTCTTTAGTCAGCTTTACTGACAGAAGCTGAGGACAGGCTAAACTTCCTTGTGTCAGAGATGGAGCATCCAGGCCACAAGGACCTGTCCCAGTGTTCTGCTGGTGAGTTGGAGATTGTGGTAGAGGCCAGGCTTCAGCTGGCTGCAATTGCCCTGCAAAGACACCGGGCCGCATACAGGTGAGTCTCTTCAAGCACAGAGGAGAATTTCTTCCTCACCCTAATTTGTCAAATATACCTAGCCTGTGTGTAAGTTTTATCAATTCCAATATTAATAGGGCATGCTTGTGTTTTATTATTCAGGGGAGTTTCATATATTATTACACTTAAAACTACAGTTCTAAACAAAGCAATTACTTTATTAAAGCATAAGCTAGGATTTTTTTTTAAGTTTATTTATTTATTTTGAAGAGGGGGAGGGAGGGAGGGAGGGAGGGAGAGAGAGAGAGAGAGAGAGAGAGAGAGAGAGAGAGAGAGAGAGAGAGTGAGAGAGAATCTCTAGCAGGCTCTGTGCATTCAGTGCAGAGCCCAATGAGGGGCTCAAACTCACGAACCGTGAGATCATGACCTGAGCCTAAATCAAGAGTTGGATGCTCAACTAACTGTGCCATCCAGGAGCCCCTAGGATGTTTTACAACATATAAAGAATGAACAAATTAACAGAGCTTTGCTTATGTATTTATTTATGTTTTTATTTTTAAAACTTTAATTCCAATAGAGTTAATATTAAAAACAAGCTCTATTATTAAAGAGTAACATTTTCTGAACTATGTTTTGCTGAACCATTTAAGAAACTGTTTTAAGTGGATAATTATTTAAATATGATACAACTGTTAGTATCAGACCTTTCATTTCACCTGTTCATTGATTCATTCATTAACCCAACCAGTATCCATTAACCACTGCATCGTTCGGCTCTTATCTAGACACTGAGGATACAGAGGGGAATGGAAATAGTTTCCATATCCATATGCTGAAAGATATATAAACAAGTAAGTGGGATAGTAAAACCACATGGACCTATATTTTCAAAACCTTCTCATATCATTTGCAATAAATAGCTCTATGATGAGGCCCTGTGACATTTCAGAAATGATTCTTTGAATAATGCACAGACTTATTATCTTCCATTCATTAGTTACAGTCAAAAAATAATTTGGGGGCACCTACAATATGCTAGTCATGGTTCCTAGTTTTTGAGAGAAATCAATATCCCAGTACTGATAGACACTCACAGTACTGATAGATACTGTTAGATAGTACTGATAGATACAATTCAACAATATTGAAAACAGGCCTACCCTCAGTGGAGCTTACAATAGATAATAAATAGGCTGACAGTAAACTGTAAACATAGTAAATGAGTAAATTGTATAGTGTGGTCAAAAGTGATACGTGTTATGGAGATACTAGGAGTAGAGGCAGGGGGAGGTGGAGGGCTATCATTGTAAAATGGTGCGGTCGTAATAAAGAGTATGACTACAGTTTGATGTTTGATGGCTGACAGCTTTCAAGCCCTACCGCTCCCCCCTTCTCCTGCCCCACATCTGGGCAGGCAGATAAGAAAACCCAGACGCTTTCTTAGGTAGAGCTGTGAGAAAAAAGAGAAGCCCACCTATGGCTTGTGCAAAGGGGAAATCAGTTCAGCAGAAATTTCCCTTTGCTTTGATGGGAAACACGTAATCATCTCATCAGTGTGAGCCTTGACCAAAGACCATGCCATGATTAACCACATCTAAATTTGATTTTATGCTAGAGCAGTATAGATTTTTGGAAATTTATAATTTTTGTGGTTTCTAAACAGTGAGGAAAATCCGTCTAGTCCATTTTGGAGCAGTGATTCTCAAAATGTGGTTTCCAGATTTCTAGGGGGTGATTCCAAGACCCTTTCAGGGGGTCTGTAAGGTCAGAACTATTTTTACAACAAGACTAAGATGTCATTCATCATCTTCATCGTGTTCTTATTTTCACTGATGCTTCAAGAGCAATGATAGGAAAACTTCTGGCCTCTTGCTGTGAATCACAGCAGTGGCCCCAAACAGTATTACTAGTGGCCATTACACTCCTTACTGCTGCGTGCTTGCAGTTAAAAAAAAATGAAATAAAATAAAAATCCAGTTAATGCTTTTGATGAACCAGTAAAACCTATTACATTTATAAATCTCCATCCTTGAATATATTTTTAATATTCTGTGGGAATATTAAATGGGAAATACTCCTAAAGCATCTTTGCTGCATATCAAAGTCTGGTGGTTGTCTTGGGGAAGAACACATATGTGATTAAATGAGAGCTAAACAAGCAGTTATTTTCACAGAACACCATTTTTATTCCAAAAGGCAACTGACAAACTGGTTTTTCAGACTTGGGTGTTTGACAGGCATTTTATTGAAAATGAGCAAAATGAACATGCCACTTCTAAGGCAAACAACTAATAGTATCTGTTGCTAATGATAAAATCTGAACTTTTTCAGGGAAATTAGAATTTTGGAAAATTTCTATTTGTTACCATGAGCTTGACAGTTTTCTAATGCTTACATAGTTCTGATGAGATTGGGAGTCATTAATATTAACAAGCATCATTTTTTTTTAAACTGTATAATGAAATGTTTCAACATTAAGGGGGTTTGCATAACTCAGGGAGTTGTTATATTCCAAATCACCAGTGGATATTGTTCCAAAATCCTGGTTAACAAGATAGACCGATAGGTTTTAATGTACCAGAGTAGGAAAATAGCATCAGTGTGTGGTATTAGCTTTCACAGTGCAAGAAACTTTTAAGAAACTACCACTTGTCACATTTTGGTGTAGTATCAAAGAATATTCACAATTGTTTTAAGAGAATATAATACTCTTTCTATTTCCAACAACTACCTCTGTGAGACCTAGTCTTCATATACTTCAACCAAAACAGTATGTCATAACTTGAGGCACCTGGGCGGCTCAGTTGGTTAAGCATCTGATTTCGGCTCAAGTTGTGATCTCACAGTTCATGAGTTTGGGCCCTGCCTCAGTGGGGAGGAACCAGCTTCGCATCCTCTGTCCCCTTTGCTATCTTCCCCTCCCCCACTTGTTCCCTCTCTCTCTCTCTCTCTCTCAAAAATAAATATTAAAAAAACCCACCAATATGTCATAGCAGACAAAAGAAGGAGATATGAAAGTCTTCTATTAGGTAGATTTTCTCTTATTAAGCCAGACATTAAAGAGATTTGCAAAAATACAAAATAATGGCATTCTTCTTGCTAATTTTTGTTGTTGTTTGGAAAATATAGCTGTCTTAATAAAAATGCATTATTGATGTTAACATGTAATGGGTTTATTGTTTGTATTTTAAAATGAATTAATAAATATTAGCAGAGTTAAAAATTTGTCAGCTTAAGTTCTAATATGATAAGTATTGATGGAAGTCTGGGAATTCTCAATAATTTTTAAGGGTATAAATGAGTGCTGAGAGGGAAAAAAAAAGCTTGAGACACACTGATTTAGAGTATTGTTATATTAAAAAATAATGTATGGTTATATTTATAGCTATCTTTCAGAATACAGTGGTAGCTGATTAATGGTAAATAGAATTAGCATAATAATATATCATCTTCCCTCTTGAAGTTTGAAGACAAGGAAACTTTACTATGTGATTTCTTATAGAAAGTATATGATTTGTATATATAGAAATACATCATCTCCCTCTCTATCTACAAAATATGTGACTATATGATTTCCTGTAGAAGAATGTAGAACTCTTTTCTCCAAACTGTTTCAGGGATCACCAGCAGCCCTAGAAAATATTTACCACTTACCTTCATTCATCCCCCTGCCCTCTGCATGAGGGCATGGAGGATATGAGTGATTTTTTATTTCTTTAGGGAGGAAGAAGGAAACAAGAAACTAAAAATTACAAAATGGCCACAGAAAGTAGTGTCATAATAGAACTTTAATTTGAAGACCAGATAGACATATGCAAATGATGTGCAAGTATATCAGAATCACTCCTATTTTAAATACATGAACCTGACCCTTGGGACAAAACCTGCAAAAACTTTGATGTTGTTGCCTTTTTGCAGCAGAGTTGTCATTTGGGGAAGCCTACTGTCAAGATGAATGAGTTTCTCCTATGTGAACTTTACCCCCCACGAGCTTCTGTTTGTGCGCTGCTGAGAGTGTTGGATAGTCCCTTTCCCAAATGATGGTTAGCTTGACATTTTATGATACTTCTAATAAAATTATGTGTCAAGGAAATTGAAAGGCACATTCCCCAGGGTGACAGGTAGAGTGAGCTGCATGGATTTTATGAGAACAAACTGACCATTTTTGTCATGAATGTTAATAAGAAGTAAATGGGATCAAAGTTATTCAAACTGTATTTCTGCTTCTTTTAGGGCTGCCTCTCTCAGAGTCCTGCCTTTTTTTTTTTTAAATAAGTTTTCCTTTCTATTTAATTTAGTGTCTAAATGGGATACCATTTGAGCCTTTTAATTTTGTGTCAGAATGAAACTTCCTTCCTTGGGGATTTTAGAGTGTTTATAGTGAGTGATCCTACTCTTTCTGTCTCTGCGGTGGAGCACAGACTAGAAACTTTCCATTTTGCATCTATGCAGTGCCAGGTGGATTAGGACACACTAGTACCGTTTATGTTTTATTCATTAAGTTTTGGGGTTAGCAAGATCCCAAACCTCATACCTCATTTGGCTTGAAGTCAGAATTTCGTCTTCGCAATCAGAAGGGTGGGATGGGCACCTCTGTCTCCTTCCAGGGCCCTCTACTGGCCATCCTGTGCTAGCCTTGAAGGCTGCTCAGTAACCAAGGTGCCTTAGAAACTCTTAAGGATCCTTGAGTGGGGAGGGGTGTCAGGGAGAGGAATTTTCATTCCTATACACGTACTGAATCTGTGTCACATTTTGTGTTGATTTCTTGCTTGTTTGTTTAGTTTTATTTTAAAGAAAAACATTTAAGTTATATAGTCACGAACAATACCTTAGGAAATATTCTACAAATATCTAAACCATTTTAACAAGTCAGTAGCATCTTGGGAATTTAAAATTCAATAATCGCAGAAAGCTTTATATTCTGGTTACTAACTTAGAAAAAAAATCAATTTGGTTACCCCTCATATTCCCTGGCCTACTCGGTCTACCTAGTGAGAACAGCTCGCATGTATTGAGCGTGGTCTATTTGGTAAGCACTCCTATTTGCTAATAAGTTCACCCCACTCTTACTAGAGTACCAATTCTATGAGGGCAGGGACTGTATCCATAGCCCCTAGATTTGTTCCTTGCCCATAGGAGGTCCTCCTATGTGTGTGTATTTTTGAACAAATGAAAGAATAAATAGCTCATTCAATCTTTACAATGATCCCATTTCATGATGTCTGCTAAGTGGAATGTAAGGCAAGAGGCATTAAAGTGGACAAAGAGAGCCTTTGCATGGATAAAAGGTACAGTCAACAATGAGTACGTATCAGTCATAAACATGGCACCAATAACTGTACAAAAATAAACAAAACCAAACTTATTAGAACTGTGGAAAGACCGAGGTCATGCTATAGGCAACAGTTAAGAGGGCAGGCACGGGAGCCAGCTGCCTGGGTTCTAATCCCGCCCCCTTCTTTCTAGTTGTGTCATCTTAGGCAAGTCATTTAACATTTCTGTCTCCATTTCCTAATGTATAAAATAGTGATGATAATAGTAGGATTAAAATTGTGATGATAATGCTTGTAGGATTGTGGAGGGGATTGAGTAAACTAATTCACCCAAAGCACTTAACACAGCACCCGACAGGTGGTAAACACTCGGTAAATACCAGTTATTGTTTTTTAAAGGATTCTGGAGAAAAAAAAGAAAAGAGAGAAAGTCTCTTGGCAGAGTGTGTGTGTTGGCACAATGTTTTCAGCTTTTAATACAACAAGTTGACAAAAAAGAAGATTTAAAAATAAAATTTAAACGTTGAGCATATGTACACACTCTAGGACCCTACAAGCAGAGACTATACCTCCCCAGAAGCATGCTGGACATGGATAAAGCTGACCTATACTAGACCAGAAACCTAACTGACCCACGGTCCAGGGACACGGGAGGCCTCTGGAACGTATATGGAGGAAAATGGTTTGATCTGATTTACCTCTTGATGAGGTCGCTGTGACTGCTGTGTGGAGAACAGGGCTGCAGGAACACGAGCCAGAGCGGGAGGCTGGTCAGGAAGCTCCCAGTCACGCAGCCTGGAGAGGATGGTGGCGTGGATGAAAGTGCTAGCACTGGAGGAGGTGAGGAGCACCTCACCACCTCACCTGGCTGGTATCTGTGTTTTGAAGGCGAGGCTGACAGAACTTACTGATGGATAGAACATAGAATGTGAGTCGGTGAGGTAACAGTAGCAATTCTGGGCTCTGCTTCTGTGTTGGAAGACGAAGAAAGAGGAACGGGTTTGGCAGAGGAGGAAGAAGCCAGGGGATCTGCTTTTAACCTGTTCTATCAGTTTCCTAGTTCTAACAGAGCACCAAAAACTCAGTGGCTTCAAACAACAGAATTTTATTGTCTCACACAGTTCTGGAGTCTATGCTCTAAAATCAATGTTCTTGGGCCATGTTCTATCTGAAGGCTCTAGAGGAGAAGCCTGCCTTGCTTCTTGTAGCTTCTGGTATTTGCCAGCAGTCCTTGGCATTTGTTGGTTTATAAAGGCACCACTCTAGGCATGCCTGTCTTTTCCCCGTGTGTCTGCATGTCACCTTCCCTCTGTGCATGTCTGTCTCTCCAAATTTTCCTTTTTTATAGGGACAGCAGTCATATTGGGATAGGGTCCACCCAAGTGGCCTCATTTTAACTTGATTACTTCACAATACTACCATTCTGAGGTACTGAGGATTAGGACATCAACACAATTTTTATTTTGAGGGGACACAATTCAACTCATAACACCTGTTAAATGTTGTTGTCTATTAACTATTCAAGTGAGAGCTTAGATAGATGGGTATATTGTCCATTTGGCTTCCACCCAGTCTTTCCATGTTATATAATAATGTTACGATAAGCATTTTCAGGTATATAGATTGTTCTGCATTTTGAATTTCATTTTGGAATAGATTTTTAGAAGCCTCTTGATATACATTAAGACATTTTGAAGAAGTGTGACATCAGTTACAATTTTATCATTCTATAGAGGAGGAGAATATGATCGTTTGAAGTGCAGACAAATGTATGAAGCAACAGGAAATAAGGACAATTCCTATCTCCTGGCTTCTGTTTTCTTAACTTAGTATGTTTGCCTTCTGGTTCTGCTAGACACTGAGTAAGTAATAATTTAGCTTAAGAGTTTCCAAGTGTACAGCCTTAAGTAACAAAGTTCTATGACCTCAAAAAGTGGAGAATTACATTCTGATACATATAAAATACTTATGTGCTCATTTTATTAATGAGATTGCCAGAACTAATAAGGTTTAAAATATATTTTCTATTTTAGTGCTGCAATAGTATTTTCTACACTTAGACTTCTCCAGGATTCAAAACTTTTTAAAAAGAAGGTAGTACAAGATGACACAGAGAATTCCATCTCTCTGGGAGCTTCTGTATGTATGAATTTAATTAATGTCTATCTTTACAATACTTACTATATAATAACTGTTGGCATGCTAAGAAAGTGTCTAATTACTTGGATGAAATAAAGGCATAAAGTAGAGAAAACACTGGATTCAGAGTAAGGAGACAAATGTTCAAGCCCCATTTTATGCCCTTTTTTTATTGGCATATACCTTAGGCAAGTCCCTTAAACTTTAAAACATTCTTTGATTAAAAATTTTAAGTTTAATTTAAATCTCATTTGTGAGCTGATGGAACTGAATGTAATAATCACTGAGGTCCCACCAGATACATTTTTCCAGTATTCGAGATCTGATTTCTTTAGCAAATAAAGTTGTTTCACTTTATTTTGCTCCTGATTTCACTTTTGAATTTTTTACTTTGGCATCATCAGTAGATACCTGTGTTATTTCCTACCCTGGATTTCTCATAGTTAGATTCTTCCACATTTTAAGCTCTGAAATCTCTTTGACAACTGGTGTCACAAATTCTTTGAAATTTTATTGGATTTTGATAAGACCAAGTAATTTAATGATAGAGGATTGTTTAGGATTAAAACATAAAGATTCATCACACAGAATCCTTGCTCATTATTTTAAGCTTTACTAATAAAATTGCTAATATCTAGTGTCATTACAAATAAGCAAAACTAATTATCCTAAATAGAAACTCATTTCTTACTATATTAAAAGCAATAAAAATGCTAAAAAGCAATCTAATTCAAAAATTGACTGAGAGGAATGGTTGTCATTTGGGGGCTATTTTGCCTCCCAGGGGTGATTTGGCAGTATCCGGAGACATTTTGGTTGTTAGAAGGAGAGAGGGTGCTACTGGCATCTAGTGCATAGAGGTCAGGGACGCCCTAGACACATAATGCACCGGACAGTCCCCCACAGCCACCAGCAGTGCTGAGGTCTAGAAATCCTGTTTTAGATGAAGGTGACTTGGCTGTCTAATAGTAACAGGGAATGTAGACACTGAGAGATGAAGGTATGGGGATAGGCATTTTTTCCTGTATTGCTAAACTAAATACTAGACTCCTCAAGTTCTTGGTGTGCCCCTTCCAGTCACCATCCTGCCTTGAAGTCTCTGTTCACTTCTTACTCTGTTCCCAGGCCAGGCTCCCCCTCCTCTTCTGTGCCTCCCACCTGGCTATCCACATTCCAGCCCCTCCTCAGTCTTGCTGGCCACTCCTTGATATTAGGTGTTGCTGATTGATTGGAGCTGTCAGAGATGCATAGCAGGAAATTCCTAGAACAAGTGGACATTGTTCTAGATGGTTTTAAAGTTCCCAAGTGTCTAAAATGGATTCCTCCTATTAGGAAAAGCTCCCCTTGTCCTTCCCTCTCAGTAGCTCTGGACATTAGCCACCTCCTTGTAAAAGGCAAAAGATTTATACGATCTGAAGAGAAACCAGAGTATTGGCCACCCCTTGTAAAGTGCAGTAACGAAGATGGTAAATCAATCATGATACACATTTGGAATGTGAGCGGCATATAATAGTGTAGCACAATGGATTAAGACAGGGAGCTCTAAATTCAGGATGCAAGTTTGAATCCCACCTCTGCCAAAATGTAATGGAGTTTAAGCAAATAGTTAACCTTTCTAGGTCTCAGTTCTCCCATCTGTAAGATAGAAAAAATAATAACCCCTCTTTGGCTTTTCAGGAGGACTAAATAAGATAATGTGTGTAAGGCATTTGACACAGTACCTGGAATATAATAAGTACTCAATATATTATTTATTATTCTTCAGCCATTAAAATGATGTTCACAAAATTTTTGAAGACCTAGATACTGCTGATAATATCATTTGCAATGAAAAATTCAGAGTGCAAAACTATTTTCTATAATGGGTACAGAAAGAAAGAGAAAAGCTGAAAAGCAATATTCCAAATGTTAATAGAGCATGGAGGGATTATGAATCATTTTATTTGTTTTGTGTGTGTGTGTGTGTGTGTGTGTGTGTGTGTGTGTGTGTATTTTTTCCATTTTATAGAATATGCAAGACAAATTTTCCAAAATTAAAAAGTTAGTATTAAATGATATCAGATGCTTCTCTTAACTTTCATTTAGCATTTAGGCAAAAACTTTGAAATTACTAGATGGCAAGATAACAATCATTTTAATATTGTTTAGGCCACTGAAAATAAAGATGATGGTGAGTTTCTAGATCCTACTTCCCTAAATTCTCGAGAACATTTCAACATCCATCTGTGGTTGAGATGCCGCCTAGCATTGGTGACCGCCTTCGTTGCACAGATTCACGGCGTTGGAATTGTGACAGGTACAAATATCCTGTTTTCTTAATAAAAGTTTTCCTAAACATTAATTTTACTTAGGTAATGGAGGTTTTATTGGGATACATTCGATTATAACATTCACATTTTCCAACTTTATAGCTTGATCTGTTTCCAGAATAAGAGAATTCATGTTATAAAAATAGTCATTTCCGTAACACTGAAAATGGCCTCTGTGTTTCTGATGTATGCAAAACAGGCAAGGAGATTTCAAAATACCAACATGCAAGTCTTCTTGTCATTCAGGGAGGCAGCGTAGTGTAGGGGGCTCGAGCACAGATTCTGTCACTGGGTACCTGACTTAGGTTCAAATATTCGGTCCACCACTTCCTCCTTGGTCAACTCTCTTAATCCCCCTATGCCTCAGTTTCTTCCTCTGGCAAAAATGGAAATTATTGTACCTATTTCATAGGGTTATTGTCAGTCTTAAATGGGTTAAATTTATAAAGTTTTAGATCATAGCCTGGTGCATATACATTATCTGTTTGTAAATCTATCCAGCCATCTCTATCCATCTCTCACATTAAATATTTTTCATGTATCATTATTACTTTTGTAGCATTGGAATACCCTAAAGTACTTTCCCCCAAATTGCAGCACATTTTTTTTAATGTTTCATGTAGAGTCTGTTTTCTGTCTTTGTATCTTCCTTTCTCTATTATACAATATTCCTGTGATGAATATTGGGGGTCTTATGCGTATGTGCTTTCTTACTTTCTCAGTGCATTTTAAATAACTGCATTTATTCACTTTAGAAAACAATATGACAGATTACGTCAGCCTCATCAACGAAGGGTGCATGGAAGCAAAAAGTGCAGGTGACAGGGAGCTACAAGCTGAATTCTTGATGCAAGCTGTAATCATTGGCCTACAAGAAAAGCATTTAAAGGCAGACATCATAACAAACCTTCAGGTAGGAAGGAGACCTCATTCACATTGATATTCACCTACTGATTCTGATTAGAACAAAAGGAGAGAATTTTAAATCCCATTAGATGCTGAATGCGTAACAGTTTGGCCAGCTCTTGTTTCAGTGGATTGGAAACAGGACTACCAAAAGCAATAATTTTATTTTAATAGGCTGTAATACATTTGCTTGAAGAAAGTGAATTTATTTCCCCTCGATCTCATTTAACCCTGGTGAGAAGCATGCTTTTGCTGGATGACTTAACAAAAGCTGAGAAATTCAAGGAAACTCCTTCTTCAAAAACAGAAAAATTATGTTTGTTGACTCAGGCTCACAACATTCTTATTGAACAGGTGGGTGCACTTTTGTGTCCTCAAGACTTAGACACTGACTTTTCCATCGTCTTATTCAAAACCACATTAGCTAGTCACTAATACAGTGTTCCTTTCACAGATGCTAACTTTCGGAGAAACGATTGAATTTCCTTTATCAAACACTGACTCTGCAAGTCCATCGCGGCCTTTGAAAAATATCTATCTTCCCCATGTCATGTTATTGGCCAAAACAAAAATGAGGATTGGTAAGAATGCTTTAACATATATTATACTCAAGTCACTGATGAGAAATTGTCATTTTCAGGCAGGCTATCCTAGGAGTACATTCAAATGGGGCAATATTTATGAATACTCGGGCTCCATTTATTTTAATGAATAGTTTTTGATTATTTACTGTGCGCCAGATTCCGGGTGAGGTCCTGGGAAATTACTGGAGGTTAAACAGGTACAGTCACTGATCTTCATGTGGGAGGTAGAAATAAGCAAGTAAACAAACCATATGGAGAAGTGCATATTATAAATGTTGTATAAAATCTTTTAATGTTTATAAAATATCCCCCTTATGAAATTTAATAGAGATAAATATTGTATAAAATAAACTATATATTTGACAAGTACCAGGCAGAAAATGAGTAAGGGTACAGAAAGCTTTGTACGATAATGCATTACATATAGGTATGTAATTATAAATTGTGATCCATTTTGTGAAATATGTGGATGAGTTCTGCTGATAAAGAACAATGAAGGGAAGGGTGCCTGTTTAAGTAGAGTCATTGGTGAAGAGCTCTGTGTGGAAGTGGTATTTAACCCTAAACCTTAAATTGCAAGTGACTAGTTATGCATGATGGAGACAGAGAGAGCCGTGTTGTAGGTTCTGAGGTCAGGACAAGCTTGACCTGTTCTGGAAGTGCAGGACACCAGGATAGCCTGATCAGAGTGGACTAGGGGCAGCCTCATGGGAGGAAGTGAGCTGAAGAATCGATTGTAGGTTAGACTGGAGCCAGCTCTGACTGTACCTGATGGGAGCTGGTGGACCAGGAAGCAAGAGACGTACAGCCCTCTGGAGCCAAAGTGGAGCTGACCAGTGCTGTCCTTCTCTGGAGCTTACAGATTGTGTCAAGCTTTCTCTAGGACACCGTCTCTGGCCTTTGACCCAAGGCTGACTGCCTCGAGCTCCCAGGCTTTTGTCCAGCTCAGAGGGCAGGAAATCTTATAGCAGCTCTCTGTGTTCTAACCTATATTAATCGTGCCTTTTTCTTTTCTGTATTTCTGATACTTTGACATCTGGGGTCCTGCTGACTAGGGAAGGACTTCCTGGGGCTAGCCAATGCCTAGAGATTACCAAACCACTATCCTGTGAGCATGCCCTTTAAATGGAGACTATTCCAGAGCCCATTCTCTGAACCTTTATTGGGCTCCCTTGTAGTCCTTTGCTGGGCTCTGACACTCTGAACCATTGTTTTCCTGCCCTAATCACCCCTGGGAGAGGTATCATCAGACTACTAGCTCAGCCCGCTGAAATTCTTTTAGACTAGCTAATCCGAAACCTGCTTTGCCTGTTTACCCCAACCTACCCATCCCTTCCTACCACATCTAAAATAAAGATTCTTGTCCACATTTTCCCCTCGCTCCCTCTACTTCCTGACCAACTTTTGGGCTTTTCTATCTGGCCCGGTGTGATGTGGTGTGCCCCAGCTTCTTGGGAACTGTCGTAAACTATGTTTTCAGTGGCAGTTGTCTCCTGGCCTGTACAGTAATGAAACACACCTGAACAGTAAAGAAACCTACATTTTAAAACATACCCCTCACTTCCTGGTACCCATTTGCCTCCTGTACCAGTAGCTGGTCAGCTAAGGAGAGGCGGATGGTTGGAGTACAGTGTGAAGGGAGGGCAAGAGAGCTGTGTGTGGTCAAACCATCATCTGTCCAGGATCTTCTCCCTTCTACCCCTCATGATTATTACTCATTATTATTTTATGTGATTCCTCATCATCATCATCATCAGAGATGAATTTTACTTTGGGTAAATTGTATCACCTCTATATTGTTGAGTCTCCTTATTTATGAGATTAGGCTGGCCTAGCTGACCTCTAGACTTCCTTCCAGCAATCTGACCCCATAAGAGCTATTTTTGTATATTTTTAGTTCACAGTTTGTTATATTATCAATATATTCAATTTCTACAAGAGCTTAAAGTACAGATTGTGTTAAATTGTGCAGATTGTGTGAAATCGAATGTATTCTCTGCTTTCCTGACTTCCTAATCCTGAAGATGTGTCACCACTCTGTGACAATAGTGCCACTGTTTTTTAGACTCACTTGAGGCAGAACAGCTTGCTTTCTGTTATATTATATTAAATACAGACCTAAAAAATAAAACCAAAAGCAGCTTTTCTGTCAAAACAACATCAGTTTCACAACTTCTTTTTCACAGAGTTGATGTTTATTGGAAAAAGGAGCACTTCAATATTATGAAGCATAAAATCATCTGATTTGATGCTTTCTCGACAGTTTTCCTTTATAGGGAGAGTATAGATTGCATCGCAAGAATAGAGCCATTTAAACAATTGTTTTTCCTTTGTGTAAACCTCTGATGGAAAAAGCCATTCTGAGACTTTCATAAAACCAAAAATAAGCATCATGGTTATTTGAGATTATTTTTCCCACTAATGACTGAACCTCAAGCTTCTTTATGAGATTAAAAAATAGATTATTGATTGCTTACATAATAGCAGTGAAGAAAGATGCAAGAATGATGCTGGGGAGTGGGGATACAAGAGGGAGCCAGTGATCATCTCTGCCCTCAGACAGCCTGTCATCCTCTTAGGGGGAGAGAGAGAGAGAGAACTGTCAGTAATTTCTGTAACAAATCCCTTTATTGTTTCAATAGAAATCCAGAAGACAATGCAACTGCTTTTATTATATATTAATACTTTATTATATATAACATAGATTTTATATATAGTACGTATATGTCAGTGCCCAAATTACTTGAAGATAATTGATAATGTTGTCGTATATGAATAAAGAGCTCTAATATAATTTGAAACAATAAATGAGACATATAAAAGGCAGATGTGTTGAAAAATGAGGTTGCCTTGGACAAAATGCTACTAGCATACCCTTACCTGGGATCTACTCATGATTGGTAATTGTTGGGATTAAAGAGCATGGACTCTGGAGAAAGATTTCTGGTTTTACTCCAGTCTGGTCTTACTCTTGTCATAATTTAGAGTGTGGGCCCTGGAGTCAGACTGCCTGGGTTCTAATCACAGCCCTGCTTCTTACAAGTCACATGACTTTGGGCAAATAAAATAAAATAAAATAATCACTGTGCCGCTGCTTTGTCCTCTGTGAAGTGTACTAATGACATCCATTCAGATTTGGGAGGATTACACGAGATAATGCTTAAGTCCTTGGGATGGTACCTGGATTGTAGGAATCACTTAATAAGCCTGAGCTCTTCTTTTTCTCTTTTCTCATTTTTGCCCAGTGCCTCTCATTTTATCCAGCATTCAGAAAATATTTGCTACGTGTCTGTCTGTTTGTCTGTCTGTCTGTGAGGGCACACAGATTACGTCTAATGCCTCTTCAACAATACAACAGTCCTTCATTATCTTAAATGATGACGGGACCACACAAGAAGTACAGCATGTGGCCCTTATCCAAATGGCTTTGGCATCTAGTTGCAGTGATAAAATATGCATAGCAAGCCACCACTAATAGAGCTGAATAGAAACAAAATTACTGCTTATTAATATATGCAAATTTTTACTGGGAAAAATATAAAGCTTCATAAGACTTACAGACGTTTTCCTACTAACAACCTCATGTTAGGAACACAGTTGTTCTGTAGAGCATCATGAAATGTTGGAGCTGAAAGAGACCTGAGAGATTATATCCTTCATTTTAAAAATAAGAAAATGTTGAAATTTATCAAAGATAAAGTTTCTAAGTGCTACTGTTCATTGAAATATTTGACTATTGAGTTTAAAAAATATTTCTTAGATGCTAGAAAGTAAAGACTACTAGAGTTCTTAAGCAAATTTATTGTGAGAGAAATCTGGTAACGTGGAGGCTTGTTACAAACGCTGTGTGTTTCATTCTTTCTTCGCCATCCGACTTGTTCCCTTTAGGACATACAGTGGCCAAACAAGTCTATTATACCAGTAAAAAGAAGGATCCCTCGAAGTGGTTACCTGCCCTTCATCTTTTTGAAATGGCACGGAAGCTCTGTAAGGTAGCAGCAGCAGAAGAACGTGAGGTAGAGGCAGAAATTCTTTTTCAGAAAGGTAAGATGTACTTGGGGTCAGAACTGTGATAAAGTTTATGGGATTTTTTTTTCCTATTAACAATGTGCTTCTTGAAAATCTGGTCACTGACTGTAAAAAAATACATATTTTATAAAGGGCTTAGTGATGACACAAAAGTGGTACCTTTGGCAAACTTATATCAAGAAAGGGGAAAAAGAGTACTACTACTTAGTCTCTTTTATAATTACAATTGACCCTCCTTAGACAAAGTTTTATGTTTGACTCAAAAATGTCAGCATCAGCCATTTAGCTATAAATAATGTTTCTTAAAGAATGCTTGGAAGGCATTTTTTATGCGTGATTTCATTCCTTAGCTAAGCATTTTAGTTAATTTCTATAAAAGATACATACCCACTTAAATAGCTGTAGCACACCTGTAATTATAAGTTATGTACAATATATTTGCATTATTACTGTGGCTACTTTGGGCATGACAAGAGTGACGGTGATGGTTGCTATCATTTGTTGATCGTCGACTAGATGCAAGGCCCTATAGTAGTCAGTGTGTAACCTCTCATATTGCCGATTCTTACAACAGTTCTACAGGGTATGCATGGCTAATCCTACTTGACAGATGAGGAAAATGAGGTACAGTCTGGTTAAGAAACCTTCTCTAAGTCAGCAGCTACTAAATGATAGTGCCCAGGCGTGAACCTAACCCTGGGAGGCTCTGTGCCCTGTCCACACACTAAATGAAAACTGAATTCTTTTTATAGCGATTATATGATTTTCCTTCCTTGCCCTTTGGCTACAAAAGTGTCATTCCACTGAACGTTGTGACTAACCATGGGGTCGAGAGCGGTGTGAACGCTGAAGTATTTGCATCATTTGTGATGGTTTTCAAGTGTTTGCTGACTTTTTAGGATTTAGCAGAGATGTTTTCTATGAGATCTGCAATACTAGACAGAGATCCGCAATACTGTATCTGTAATACAAGAGGAAGAGGACATGGATGTAGACAAAGGGAATGGGCCCCACAGGAGGAAAGGGAGGTACAAAGTAAGGAAATATAAAAATAAGATGGTAAGAACACTTGTGTCTGGAAAGCCAAAGGAGGCTTTGACTCAGTGTTGCTAACTAAAGGCAGGATGAACCCGGAGACTCCTGGGGAAAGAAGTAAAAGATCTTGCACTATTGGCTGACCTTACAGCAAAAACAACAGACAGATGGGCAGGAAGGACAGCACATCCAGTTTTCTGAAGTCCCAGCATGAAATGTTTATTCTAAAGTTCTAAATGATAGAAAAAGGAAAAACCATTTGTGTACATATTTTTTTTTATTCTTTCAGGCAAAATAGAACGTCAAATATTGATGGAAGAGAAATCTCCAAGTTCACAACTTGAGAGTTTATTTGAAGCTATACAACTAAGCTTGAGAAATGATCAAAACTCGGGGTAAAAAAAATCTTCCCATTATTATAACATATTTTGGCTTAAGTCCCATGCTCTGGTAGTACATTGAACATTCAAGGCTGGGATGACTGGGAGACCATCTTCCTATGGCAGGACTAGTTCACTGGGGTCCATTGTCCACCAGATTTACTGACTTCCTTTCCAAGGTTGTTGCCCTTTGCTCTGACCCAACGCCTCATTTACAGCAATGGTTGGTGATGGCAGTTATCATGGTGGCATACTGGACTGTGTATTGCTTCTAGTCTTTACTCACTTTGATCTCCTATCTGTCCCAGGATTCCAGCAGCTTCCATGGATGTGAAATTGTATCTAGAAGGGATTTATGTGGATATTCACTCTGGTCAACAGGGCCAGGGATGGCCAACTTAATTCTATATAAAAATCATCTTAAGATTGAGAATAAGCTGCCATTATTACAACTGTACTGATTTAAATAGCCCCAACTGACAGGTTTGATAGTGAATACACAGACCTCACCCATATCATACAACTGCTTTCTGCATTACTCCATGTCTCTTTCCATTTTCATTAGTATAGGAGGGTAGAAAAAGAGGTCTGATTTTCAAAGTAGGTTCCTTCAGTCCTGATTTTCACTTCTTTAGTGACTTGTGTGCTGGAATATTCTAGAATGGTATGGATGCTGGGCTTCAGAGCAGTCATGCCATGGAGTGTTGCCAGCACAGGACAAGGTAGAATTCTCAACTCTCTTCAAGAGCTTCCAATTTCAGTAGGGAGGAAGGTGCTGCTGTCTCTGCCAATGGTGCTGTGAAAAGAAGGTGTGTATTTGGGACAGATACTGGTTTTGTCTATTTTTACCTTTCATCAGCTCAGAAATTGTGGAAAATGGTGCAAAATGATTATGAGTGGTGAAACTATTTAATAAGTACAGTGTTCTATCATTTTAGGTTGATAAGAGACTCCTACTTAGAAATGGCCTTATTATTTTTACATATGAGGAAGCCAAAAAACAATCTTTCAACACCACCATTAACACTTAAGGTAATAAACTATTTTATTAGAAATCTTAAGTTAATTGCCTTTGTTAACTCTGTGCTATTGAAATAATGAGACTGATTTTTATGTATGATTTGGAGAAATTCATTTATTACTTTATAGTCACACTCATGTTTAGATACTTCTCTGTATGTTTTTTGTTTTGTTTTGTTTTGTTTTTAATATGAAATTTATTGTCAAATTGGTTTCCATACAACACCCAGTGCTCCTCCCAACAGGTTCCCTCCTCAGTGCCCATCACCCACCTCCTCTCCCTCCCACTCCCATCAACCCTCAGTTTATTCTCAGTTTTTAAGAGTCTCTTATGGTTTGGCTCTCTCACTCTCTAACTTTTTTTTTCCTCCCCTCCCCCATGGTCTTCTGTGAAGTTTTTCAGGATCCACATAAGAGTGAATACATATAGTATCTGTCTTTCTCTGTATGACTTATTTCACTTAGCATCACACTCTCCAGTTCCATCCATGTTGCTACCAAGGGCCATATTTCATTCTTTCTCATTGCCAAGTAGTATTCCATTGTGTGTATAAACCACAATTTCTTTATCCATTCATCAGTTGATGGACATTTAGGCTCTTTCCATAATTTGGCTGTTGTTGAAAGTGCTGCTATAAACATTGGGGTACAAGTGCCCCCATGCATCAGCACTCGTGTATCCCTTGGGTAAATTCCTAGCAGTGCTATTGCTGGGTCATAGGGTAGATCTATTTTTAATTTTTTTGAGGAACCTCCACACTGTTTTCCAGAGTGGCTGCATCAGTTTGCATTCCCACCAACAGTGCAAGAGGGTTTCCGTTTCTCCACATCCTCTCCAGCATCTATAGTCTCCTGATTTGTTCATTTTAGCCACTCTGACTGGCGTGAGGTGGTATCTCAGTGTGGTTTTGATTTGTATTTCCCTGATGAGGAGTGATGTTGAGCATCTTTTCATGTGCCTGTTGTATATAAGGCTCTGGAAATAAGAGTTCCTGTGGACAGTTTTGCCTGTTAAAATGTAATACATGAAATGTAGGCGTATGTAAATAATCTAAGGTATTAGTATTAATCAGGAAATTGTAGGAAATGGTATATTGGTTAAGCAGATGGACAAGTAATATGTTCATTACTGATACGGCCTGCTAACAGATCACTTTTTGATAGAGTCATTCATTTATTCATCACATACCTATTGAACATTCACTCTGACCCAGACAGTATTCTGGAAGGTTATTAAGCAGTGATTAAGACAAACTTAGTCCTTGTTCTCGTGGAACTAGTTTTCAGTAGAGGGAGAGAGACAATAAACCAGTAAAGGAAAAAAGTAAGAGGAAGGAAGGTTGGGTGGGGGGGAGGAGGGGGAAGAAAGGGAGAGAAAGAAGAGAAGGAAGGGGGGTTGGTTTAGGTAGTAAAATTGGAGATTAGGAAAGAACTTGGGTTGGTGGGATTGTGAATGATGCAGTGGCAAGAGGTGGGATTTACTGGATGAGAAGGGGACCATGCAAATAGTTGCAGGGGCATGCACTTCTAGAGCGGTGCTTCCAAACCAAGGGGCAGAAGCATCTCTGGGGATCCTGTGAAAATGCAGAGTCTGATTCAGTAAGTCAAGGATGGGGTTTGAGATTTGGCATTTCTGCTGGTCTGTGGGCCACATTTGAATTCCAGGGATCTAGACTGAGGGAGATCCTGTGGGCAGGATGTGGGTGCTTTGGAGATATATGAGGCCAGTAACTTTTAATTTTTAATTAATTTATTATTATGATGATGATTATTAGTTTGTTTTAGAGAGAGAGACTGTGTGAGCAGGGGAGAGGAGCAGAGGGAGAAAGAGAGAGAGAGTGAGGGAGGGAGGGAGAAAGGAAGAATCTTAAGTAGGCTCCATGCTCGGCATTGTTCTTACATTATAGTTATTTAATGTTATTATGTATTCTTCATTTAGTGCCTACTAGTATTCTTTCCAGAATTTAAATAGGTAAATTGCCCAAACTTACAGAGCCAGTAAGCCACAAGGGCTACCCCAAAGCCTAAGTGGCTTCATTACAGCTAATGACTAGGGTTCTTGTATTTTGGGAGAGGGCTGTATTGCTTAGATTATCCATAGGTGGCTTCTCCAGGTATCATCTACCTCCAGCCAATCTTAGCACTTGATCTAGGCTAGGCCACATTTACACGTTGTGTTTCCTGCTCTGGCATCAGCACTATTCACTGGCTTTCTTTTTCCTTGGGAGTCCTGTAGCCAGAAGTAAAACAAAGATATCTTTGTTATTGTTTGTTTTATTCTGCAGTCTTGTTGAAGATCAAGGAATTGGCCAAAATATGAGCATCAAAAAATTAGAACCAAGCAGTCTAATTGAACAGTTTTATCCATATTAGTTAAATATTAAGAATTAACTATTAATACTTATTTTAGCTATCTTTAAAAATGTAAAACAGGCAGATATTACACTGCCATTGGAGTTTCTTTCTGTTAATTTTTGTAGCATTGACTTTCTTATTTAAAAAATTGAACACACAGACACGGTAAAAAAATATCTTCATTCATTTCTATTTTTGCTATTCTATGGAACTTTATGATTACATCATCCTTTAATAGTTCCCCAGTTAGAAAAGTGATAGCGAATACCTATCAGAAACCTTTAAGTAATATTTTTATTTCTGACATTCTCACACAATGTATTCAACTTATAAATCATCTATTAAAATGGCAAATACCATTTTAAGTAAATACTTTCCTTAAAATGCCATTTGTGTTTATTTTATTGTTATTCAAATCCAAGCTCAGTATAAAAAATTAGAAAAGATGAGAAAAATAAGCACCCTTAAGAGCCATAATAACCACTGTTAATAATTTTCTTTGCTTGTGTATACAGGGAATATATGTGTATACATATCTTTTTAAAAATAGGATTGTACTTTGCATACTATTTTGTAACCTCTACTTTTCTGTCTCTAATATATTTGAACATCTTTTCATGTCAATACATCTAATACATACATTATTATTCTTTATTTTTACATTATTATTCTTAATGGCTATATAGTGTTCCACTGAAATGTCATTTTCAGAGGATGAGAAAATTTATCATGCAACTTCATGGTATCTTTATCTATCTTTATTATAACATATGTGCTATATTTTTTAGACTCCTACCAGAAGGCATAGTTCTATTAAAGAACCAACAGTAAATAGATTTGAAATGTACGGTTCACTGGCCTGGACTGTGATAAGAGCTGCTGCCCAGGTTGGTGTGATTTCTTTTTTTTTTTTAATTTTTTTTTCAACGTTTATTTATTTTTGGAACAAAGAGAGACAGAGCATGAACGGGGGAGGGGCAGAGAGAGAGGGAGACACAGAATCGGAAACAGGCTCCAGGCTCTGAGCCATCAGCGCAGAGCCCAACGTGGGGCTCGAACTCACGGACCGCGAGATCGTGACCTGGCTGAAGTCGGACGCTTAACCGACTGCGCCACCCAGGCGCCCCATGGTGTGATTTTTATTTAAGCTTCCTTTTAACTGGCCTGTCTGTATCCTCTACCTACTAGTTGTTAAGACAGCATAATGTATCTAGACAAGAGAAAGGAAAATTCACATTCTTTAGGATTTATGCCAATGATCTTTCTTTGGGAAGATTAGGATTGCTCCTTAAGTATGTTGTGTTTTTAATCTTTATTAGGCAGACCTGTCTTTGTTTGTTTCGGCTTTTCTTTAATGAAAGTATTGGCAGATACATATGTGCACATTTTGACATTTTGGCAAATATCTTTCAGAGCTAGGTGAGATAGCCTATTTAAAGTGACTCATGCGTTAATTAAATTGTCAACAATAATGATTTGTTTGACAATGATATATACTACATGTTGGGCATCACATGTTGTTTTCCAGATTGTCTTTATTTTTTCTTCCAATGTATATTGAATATGATTTTATGAATTCACTTTTTCACATTATGGGCCTAATGGATAATCTATGAATCAGAAAGCTTACATTTATGAATTCTAATTCTGCATTAATTTTAGGTCAGTGAAGCTGTGCTAGCAGTTAATCTACTTATTGGAAAGAAGAATGCTAGAACTGATAAAGTCAGCCAAGGGGCCTTACCAAATATCCCCGAATTTGCCACTGTGGATCTTTTGTCTTCATATACAGATTATTTGCTTGGTATGTTTGAAATGTCTAGGCATTTTATAAAAACCTGATACATGTAATGCATAATCAAGTTGCAAAGGTTTAATCATGGTGATTTGTTGGGTTTTAGCTTAGAGAGTATCATGGCAGGAGGAACCTCAGAAAGACAGGGGCTCTGCAGCCTAGCTGCCAAAACAAAGGGGCATCACTTCATTGTATGTACGTCTGTGGTACTCAATCAGCTGTTGCATTTCAGATGCAGGACTCTGTGAAAAATGGTTATTTCCTTCTGTCTATTTTCCAGTTCACACATGTCAAATGAGGCCTTTTGGAAATATTTACTTGTGGATCCTTTCCTGATCCCCTAAAATGTGTGCTCACCCTAGTGCTCTCATGTAGTTCTCTGTTCTTTTTCTTAGTTATTTTATATTTGTGTGTGTGCATATGTATGTATGGGTGTGCACATGGGTATACATGTTTGAACTCTTTCTCTCATTAAGCTATCATCAGCTTCCTGAGGATAGGGACTTTATTTGACTTGCTGCTAACTGCAGAAAATCACACATTACTTGCACATGACAGGCATTTGTAATTGTTTATATTTTTTTCATTTTTTTGTTTGTTTATTTTTGAGAGAGAGAAAGAGAGAGAGCACAAGTGGGAGAGAGGCAGAGAGAGAGGGAGACACAGAATCTGAAGCAGGCTGCAGGCTCTGAGCTGTCAGCACAGAGCCCAATGTGGGGCTAGAACCCATGAACTGTGGTATCATGACCTGAGCTGAAATTGGAGGCTTAACTGACTGAACCACCCAGGCACCCCTCGTAATTGTTCAATGAATTAATGAATGAGAGGTTAGAATTTAAACTTGATCTCACTATTATTTGTTTTTTCTATTTTACGGCTCCTTTGTTAGCTAGCAAACCGTCATATAAACCTCTAAGTCAGATCAGCAGTAATATATTTAAGATTCATTTATGTGTTTGTCCATTCATTCATTTGAAAAATAGTTATTGAGTGCTTCTTGTATGCTGAACACTTGGATGGTTCAAAGACATAAGGTGCTGGAGTCTTACTTCCAGGCTGACATTTCAGTAACAACAATAACTAATTTTCCTTGGCACTAGGTGAGCATTGAGCCAAATGCGGTGAAGAGTGCTACTTTAACCTGGTGGGGGTGGGAGTGTTCTTCCTAAAGCCGCTGAAAACACATCTGTAGGCAGCAGCTTACTCTGCTGAAGTGTTAAGTCAACTTTAGCCAAAGGATTAGTGTCTAAAACCATCCCTTTCCTTGGCTTTCTTCCTTTCCAACCCAAAAATGTATTGCCTGAGGTTAAACCATTAGATGAACTTTTTATGCCAAGTTGTGGTTTTCCTATTTTATTGCTTTGATGTCTGGCGGGATTTTGTTTCATCAGTTTCATCTAAAATGCCGTATTAAGCAGTTATTACCAAAATTATGCTGTGTATCAAACAACCCTAGAACTTAGTGGCAATGAGAATTCATCCTTTGACTTGGTCTGGTCCATGTACATTTGTTATGAAGCCCAGGCTGAGGAGGCAGTGGCTGTTTGGAGCATGCTCTTCTCACGGTGTACAGCAGAGCAAAGGGGCCAAGCTCTATCACAGAAGTACACTCAAGGTCTCTCTTCACACCACATCTCACTGGCCATGGCAAATCATATGGCCAAGTCCAACATCAGTGAGGAAGGGGAATCCACTGTGCCAGGCGAGGAAGGGAGAGGGGCACGAATGTTTGCTGAATGATAATCCAAACTATCTTACGTGACAAGTCAATTCTGAACCCCTGTATGGAAATACAGGAAAAGGTGTTGCAGTGATCCATTAATGATGTCACCCATGGGCACATGCAGTGAGGAGCCGCATCCCGGATCCAAATGATCTGAGTTGATCAGTTGAGAAGTTGGTCTTCATCTTAGCTGTGCTTACTGCTAGAATGTGTGATTTCTTTGCCCTTCTCAGTGATTTTCATAGTGTATTCCAATTTTCAGTTTCTGTTTTGTACCATTAGCACTCTTTTACTGTTTTACAAAAATAGTAATTTGAAATGACCAAATTTTGAAGTCCCATCTATTTTGCATTTTGCCTTGCCTTAAGGGTAATAGTTTGCCCTCCAGTATTTTCCTAGCAGACTGATAATTAATTCATGCTGATGATTTCCCTCACTTCAGTATTTGGGTTGGAAGGAGGTACTGAATCCCCTCCTGACTGCTACAAATACCCAGACGGCAACGAAGTTTATATTATAATGAATTGCTAATGGGCAACAGCAACAAATAAAACTTGTTTGATTTTCCTTGCATTAGCATAAATTAGCATCCAGGAGAAAACATCCTCAGTAATCTCACCTTTGCTAGCATTGATGTGTACTCAAGGTGGTGACCAATAGTCATGGTTTTTGTGTGTGGAACGCTGCACCAGATATTTGTGTCCAAAAGGAAGGAGGAGTCATAGAAAACCAAGAAAGTGAGTCTTTCCTTCCATGAGGTTCCAGTCATTGACAGTCAGAACAGAGATACACTTTAGAATTATATAGATATGTCTCTTAAGAGGTCCATATTAATGGAAGCAAATTAGGCTGAAGCTGGACGACAGACAGGATGGGCATATTAGTTAATTGGAAACATTTTTTTTTTTCTGGAACAAGTATATTGTGGGGCAGGTATAAAAAACCACATTTTCTCAACAGAGCAATTGGCAATCGGAGAAGCATGATGACAGAATAGACTATTCATGTGTATGTGAACCATAATAGGTCAGCATGTGTACCAGAGAGCTACTGTATGACATCTGCAGAATAAGAAGATACCAGAGTGATTCAGCTGATCCAATTTATAGAGGTTTTCTCTACATTGTCTTATAGGCATAGAGACCCTGAGATGATGATACTGGCAATATAAGATCATATTTAGTTTCAATGCAAAAAAACACACACATTTATTAGATGCCTACTTTGGGCCTAGTTGTACTTAAATATACTTATCTTTTTTGTCTTGATTTTCTTGCGGCTTTAGGAAAAATTTCAGCTGGGATAAGAATTGTTAAATTCTGTAAGACAGTTTGAATTAAAAGTACAATTTAGGGCTAGTGGTCCTGGATGCAGCTTCTCACAACCAAATGCACTTGGTCTATAGAAAATATAAATGTTTGTCTTGCGAAAACTAATGGCGGTGAAACTATTGTCAGAACATACAAAGAGAACTGTGAACGAAGACTTAGGATCACAGCTGACCTTTAATATAGGCTCTGCCTGTTGAAACAGAGAAAAGCTTTCAGCCTGAAAAAATAGGATTTGTTCTTTCCTTACTGCCTTGGGCCTGGTCCAGAAACATGGGGTCAATACCAACTAAAAACTGAGATGCCATTCCTCTGCTACTATCTTGATTTCTTGTATTCCTCTGAGACACAACACTCCATAGGTGGGGACCTAGGGAAACACATTACATCCTCAAATCCCAAAGTATTACACTACTTACAGATTAGAATGGAGAAAAATCATTTATGCTAATAGCAGTGATGTGTGTGTGTGTGTGTGTGTGTGTGTGTGCGCGCACATGCGTGTGTGTACCTGCTATGTATCAATTCATAGTATTAGCAGCTGAGACAATTGGAACATGATGAGAACCATCCTCAGTGAAGCAGAGCTGTCCTGGTCCAACACCTGCAAGCTTCTAGAAATGTCATTCAGAGCTCTATACTTTGATCACTTAAATCTGAGAAGGAACCGTCTCATGACCAAGAGCAGAGCACATATTCTCCACCCTCTATTACCAGACTCTAGGTGTGAAGACATTCTTTATTCTAGACAGAGTCAACAATGAAAAATAGGAAGCAACAGAAGGCACCCGTAAGGAAACATTGCCAGACAAGCACAATGAAATGCTCTCTTGAAGACTCAGAGGAAGACTGACACTTCAGGGAGCCAAAAGAAATGTAACAAGATCCTTTAAAACCTTCAGCAGGGCCTGGTCAAAGACTGACACAAAACAGAAAGCCATATGCAGCGAATGCTAGATAACAGTGGGACCAGTGTGTCCTGATGCCATACGCTAGTGCTTTATGTGATTTCATCTGTCCTTGACGAAAATCCCATGGCAGTGTCATTATGCATATATATTAAACGAAGAAAGGTCCTCAGAGAGGTTATGTAACCAGGATAATTTTCTACTGCTGATGCAAATCCTGATCTATCCGGTTCTAAAAGCTGTGCCCTTGATCACTGTGTTGGGTGTGATAAGAAAGTATTACCAGGAAATCAAAGTGCAGAATGAATGCATCACCCTTTCGGATTGAGCTGACATGAAAGATGCTTTTTCCCTCCCCAATCCAAACATGTAACACAAGGTTGGATAAAACAGAACTGAAATTGTTTTAACTTACAGCTGAGCATGAAGTCAGGAAAGGGAAATCTCAAGTTACCAAAGTAAATTGAGTGATTCTAAGCAAGAGCTGAAGGTGAGGACGCCATTGGCGAGGGCACTGCTAGGGCTGGGACTTGGATGCCAGGACAAAGAGGGGGTCTGGAAGGAGGGCCCTGTGGGTAGGGAAGGTAAGAACCCTGCTAACTGCTTAGAATTGAGCTTCAGAATGGGCTTGTCAAATTGAGGACTAGAAACACATTGCCCACCGGCTTGAGTAGATGCAGAGAAATGTGCCAAATTGCCCGGTCAGGGCCAAAAATGAGTCACTTGGAAGAAGTCAGAACCCCACCTGAGATTGTAAGGTTGGAATTCTCACCACCTGAAAGTTGCAGGGAAATGAGTGTAAATACTTGCCCAGAACCAGTGAAACCCATGCAGCTCTGGCTGAGGCTAGAGGGAAACCGTTGCAAAGGGATCCACTTCCCACAAAAGTTCTTCTGAAAATAAATGTATATTGCAGGTTATACCTGGAAAAATTCTGACATCACTTTTGGATTATAAAGACAAAGAAAGTAATTGTGAGCATTCAGTCAGAAAAAGTGGACATTCTATAAAGAAAGAAGAGTTGAACTGGCCTTAATTTTCTCCTGTGAC